GTCTGTAGTCCAGATGATGTCCATTTGCATTGTATTGCACGATTGAAACTTTTGAACTGGTAAAATATTACTACCTACTTGTTTAGTGATTTTCATTTCATTTATGAAGTTATCATTTCTGTCGAGCGTCCCGTGACGCACATAATTTTTTTTTCTGCTTGAACTTGCATATTCATTCCCCACTAGCCGATACGATAGAGAATACTTTCAAAAATTACTACTTTTCCTGATAGACTTTTAACAAACGCAAGCCTTCGAGGGCACTTATATGGAAGTATTACAAAAACCGTTGAGTCTCTGCTACAATTAAGTCAAAAAATCAACCGAACGGCCAAATCATCAAATTGCCCTTGCACTATTAATTCAGTTAATCGGGGGCGAAAAGGTTTGATAACGCCCAGACTGCCGCGTCTGTTCTCGGAGAAGCGTGCGCTCAAACCTTGCGTCCGATTTCCAAGGGGCGGTCCCTTATAGTCCGGGAACATGTGCAGGTCCTCGAAAAAGAAATCTTTCATGGAAAACTGCATCGATCAGATGCATCTTAACCGTAGCATGCCATGGTCAAGAATGGACACGCGTGACTGCATTCGATCGTCGAATGGTCGCAAAATGCGTACATGGCCATTATTACGTCACATCTGTAGGTCACGCAGTGTTGGTAGCTGATTGGTTGGAAGAAAGAGGAGAGAAGGCCTAGTTTGGTTAGCGCGGCGAAAAAAACCCGTTTGCATGAAAACATAGATTCGCCAATGTCAACAGGCAAGTGCAGCATAGCGTTACGCCACTGGGCGATAAATCGCCTCTGCGATTTCATAATCGTTAAATTGAAGCAAAAGCCAACCGCTCACTTAATCTTGAAAGCTTCAATTTACGAGGCGCTTTTTAAATCGCTACTTACGGTGGAGAGTTTTTCGATTTCTTCGTCAGACGCGCCCAATGAAGCCAGGCCAATCTCCTGCGAGAATTGGGCGAAACTGGGGTCGGCCAGCAGGGGCATGTGCCCAAGAATCTCATGGATTGCATCGCTGGAACAATGGAAAAATGGATTGGAAATTTGATAATAATAATTGCCCTCGCTAAGGGGATTTCCATTTGGAAAGTCCCTGCAAAGCCCTCGGAAAGGAGCTTTCGTTGCCTAGACAAAAGTTGAACATGGAAAACTCAATTTCCGACACCCGGGCCTCTTTAATGGCAATTAGGAGCGCCTCTTTACTGATAATGGGCTCGAGATCGAATTATCAAAGCGCTTTGGCGCAAAACTGAAAAAATGCACTTACGGTTCTGGAGTGTGGAAGGGCGAGTTGATGTGGCGAATATACTGAGTGCTCTGGAAGATGCGGAAGGCCAACGAGGCCAAGAAGTCGCGAGCGGTGAGCAGACCGGCCGCAGGCCGCAAAGTAAATCCGGTGTTCCTCTGCATGAACTTCGACATGTCTTCAAGTTGGGGGATTTTGTCCGGCACAAACAGGCCCTCGTCTTGCAGCACCTTGAAGACTCTGCGGTACTCAGCACAGGCGTGTTTGGGGGCCAGATCGACCACCGTAGTAAACACGGACTTCCAGGTCTTGTTCTCCGTCTCGGTGTACTCGATGAAGGGCACCGAGTCTCCACTAGAAGGAAAAGTTCAGAACCATTGGTACCCTCGAGCTGGATGCGCTACGAAAGACACTCACTATTTGTAGGCAAAGGCGATTTCGGCGATCTCCTTGCGCCTGGCGCGGTAAACCTTGTCAGCAAAGCCCGGATGGTTCATGTCCAGATCGGGCTCATACTTGGTCATCAGGTGGTTGCAACTGTCCAGCTCGCTGGCATGTCGCGGGAACCACGGGTTCTTGGCGGAAATATTGTCCTCCCCAATCAGGGTGGCGTGTTGCAGCGTCTGCGACTGTCTGAGGTTCTTCAGCAGCAGCAGCATGTTGATCCTGGTCATGTCAACCTTCAGCAGCGTGTCCAGTCGGGCGCTCTCGCCCTGACTGGGGCGCGTCTCCAAATGCACCACCACTCCTTGGTTCTTCTCGACCGACTTCAACACGCGCGCCAGCGAACTCATGCCGTCCTTCAAGTGCAGAATCAACGCGGCTCTTTGGATGATCTTCTCCGACTCTGGATCTTCGGTAATGGCGTTGGCCAGCACGATTTCCTCCTCGGTCAAGCCGGTGTCTGCAGGAAAAAAACATTCAATTGCCACCCAGTCTCGCTCTAATAACCGCAAGCAGTTGGACGTTATACAGGGTTATTCACGCTATGCGGCACGGAAGTTTGCGGCTAACCCGTTTGATTTTTTAAAAGTATTATTTTATGAATTGTCCGACGCCTACCGAGTGTCCCAAGAGCTCTAAAGGTATCAAAGTTGCGTTTTTTAAATGGAATGTCCTGTATATTATTGCATTTTTGGATTCGCTGAACAAAATAAGTGTCTGTTTTAA